ATTTTGTGTGTGTTTTGTGTAGGGTGTTTGGTACCAGCATGGTGGAGGAGTATGAGGAGATAGCTGATTCCCAGTACCCTTCAGAGAGACTGGAGTACTTGGATGAAGACTATGGTAAGATGTTTTGTTCATCACTTGTTGTAAACAAAACCTTTTTACTGAACTAACAGAAAATGAGGACAAACACATGAAAATACTTTCCTGCTGCTTCACCTGGCAGAACTGCCCATTTGCTGCACATCTCTAGACTAAAGGACCCTGAGAAGAGTCATATTGCTCTCCAGTTCAGTTACCACATGCCTTCAGCCAGAGTTTGCTATTAATACCAGCTGACCTTTTGCTGCACAGTTTTCTTTGTTGATTCCTCTATTTTGACAGTGTTGTATTATATCAAGGCAAAGCAGAAACTTCTGGCATAACTTCATCCACTGCCGAGGTGTATAGATGAGGAAAAATAAACTGAAAAGATCAAAAATCCATCAACACTTGCAGTGTGTAGAACAACTTTATTGAAGTACAGTTGTTCTATACACTGCAAGTGTTGTTATATGAAAGAATAACATTTATTTACTCTTGAATGTGACAAAGTTGCAGTGTGTGGATTTTTAAGTGTATATTGTAACAAGAATAACCTGCAGTTATGTCTGTGTTTCAGACTATCCTCCTGGTTACCAACCATCAGAGGACAAGGCCTCTAAAAACCTGCTTGGCTCAGCAACCAGTATGTATATATACACACACACTTTCATACAGCTACATTAATAAAAACTAAATGACAGCAAATAAGATGCAGCAATACAAATGGTAACGGAGTATAAGATTAAGTTTTAAAAAGACAGGAATGAATGAGGGATTGTAATGGAAACCGTAACATATGCCTTATTAACATACTGATTGTTGCTATGCAAGTTTTATATAGTCATTTGTTTGCTTGTGAAACTAGAAAAACTTCTGTGTCAGTGTCTTCAGTGAAAAGCATGTCCTTGTATGTCTGTTGAACCAGACAGCTTCCTTCCTGTGTGACAAATTTCCTTAAACCTACATATGACCTTAACTGATCAATACCATGAACTGGACTCATGTCCATGTATAAAAAGGAAATGCAGCTCTTTCCCAGGGAGCTTCTCCTTCAGACTGTTATGTTTGACACTCTGTGAGAGTTTGCTCCTTTCTGCAGAAATAAATGCGCATCAACCTTCAGAGTTGGTATCAAGGTTTTCATTTTGCACTCTCCGAACCTTCATAAGGTAATATTTGCCACAACTGGGATAATTAAGAGTAATTGCTCAAGAAGGGCTAGAAGCAACAAATTTCATTACTTTGATTTTGACAAGTCCAACCAGTGAATGCTTCTACTTTCTTTTACAGTTTGTGGTGACAATGTATAGTTTGAAGACTTCATACCCACAAATGTTAAGTAAAATAGTCTTGTGAATATGATACTTTATGTAAAAGAACATTATCTTAATAGTATTTTTGTACATGCTCACTGGTGAGCTCTGGATAAATCTGATCTCAGAAGCTAAGTAGGGCAGAGGTTGGTCAGTTCCTGCATGGGAGACTGCTGGGTTGGGTGTTGAGCTAGCAACTTAGCCCTGTAAAACACCCACCGCTACAGAAACGGCAATCACTTGCCGCCCAATGCACCATGAAGTGCCAGCAGAATTACTGCCACCACCTTCATGTTTGTACCGTTTGCCAGGTGAGGCTCCACATGGTCTTTAGTGCAGCAGCCCAGGCAAACAGCAGTGCCCTTCACAGGCTCAGATATACACCAATCAGGCATACCATTATGACCACCTGCCTAATACTGTTTACATAGGAGTCAATGTGGCAGTTGGTTGGCACTCATGTCACTCTGCAGCTCACTGTGCATCTTCTGTGAATCCATTTGCTTCCACAGTTCTACTGTCAGGAAGAGGCTTTAGACAAATTCATCAGCCTCACCACTCTAGGTGTGATATCTCCACTACAGCCCCTGACTCTTTCTCTTCATAGAGACCAATGGACAGTATTTCTCATTTTCAACCATTTTAACAAAGATTCAAATAAAAGTTTAATCTTTTGAAAAGTATAAATGGAAGTTAAAAGTTTAATCTACAGTAGATCAACCTCATCATCAGTGAGCCGTGGTCGTCCATGACCCTGTCTCCAGTTCACCATTTGTCCTTCCTTAGACACTGTTGGTAGGTACTAACCACTGCAGACCAACAACACCCACCAAGACCTGCAGTGTGGGAGATGGTCTGACCCAGTCATCTCACCATCACAGTTTGATCCTTGTCAAAGTCACTCAGATTCTTACACTTACCCATTTTTCATGCTTCCAACATCAACTTTGAGGACTGAATGTTCACTTGCTGCCTAATATACCCCACACACTGACAGGTGCCACTGTAACAGATGGTCAGTGTTATTCACTTCACCTCTCAGTGGTCAGAATGTTATGGCTGATTGGTGTAGATTAATTCTTAGAGGGGCAGTGTTGAATGTTTCCTCGGCATTTTAATCCACTTGGCATCTCACAAGCACATACATGTAGGCTGCATTTTGGGTACAGAAATTTTGCTGTTTTTTTTATTTTTTTTTTGTAACCACACGTGCAAATGCAGCGGTGCCCTTCTGTCTCCTGAATTAAAGACTAGTGCTCCTCTCTCTCTCACACACACACACACACACACATAATGTTCACACAAATCTTCATCTTCACTGAACTAACCCAAAAAACCATGAGAAACAGCAGAGCAACACATTGTGTTGTTTTTTTTTTCCCCTCCTTCCTTTAGATGGGTAGGCTCAGAGGCAAAGAAGAGAAAACAGGGACTGGAGGGAAAGGCTAGAAAAGGAAGCTTGACAGAAAAGTAAAGTAGAGGAAATCATGTTGAAGCACTTCAGAAATGCTGCGTCAGAACAGAGATTCAATGAAAAAGAAATGTCAAACTCTGTGGTTGGTTTCATTAAAATTTGACAGGAACCTCTTATCTTCAAAAATAACTACATATTGTTTGTGTTCTTTTCCTGTAGATGCCATCCTGAACATGGTAAACAACATTGCTGCTAATGTGCTGGGTGGGAAGCCCGAGCTGGAGGGTGGAGCAGAAACTGGAGGTGCTCATCCTTCAACCTCCTGTTTGCTTTATACATCCCCCTACACCTGTATGTCACAGAACTCCCTCTTGCACATTACTCCTCTTCATTGGTATTCCAGCTATCATTTTATTGTGAGCATAGGAAAGTCTGATGTGTATTACCACTGTGAGCTGCATCACATTTCCCATAAAATCAAAAAGATAGCCACTAACTGTACAGTATTGTTCAAAATAATAGCAGTACAATGTGACTAACCAGAATAATCCAGGTTTTTAGTATATTTTTTATTGCTACATGCAAACAAGTTACCAGTAGGTGCAGTAGATTCTCAGAAAACAAACAAGACCCAGCATTCATGATATGCACGCTCTTAAGGCTGTGCAATTGGGCAATTAGTTGAAAGGGGTGTGTTCAAAAAAAATAGCAGTGGAGGAACATTTTGTGGACTGATGAGAGTAAAATTGTTCTTTTTGGGTCCAAGGGCCACAGACAGTTTGTGAGACGACCCCCAAACTCTGAATTCAAGCCACAGTACACAGTGAAGACAGTGAAGCATGGTGGTGCAAGCATCATGATATGGGCATGTTTCTCCTACTATGGTGTTGGGCCTATTTATCGCATACCAGGGATCATGGATCAGTTTGCATATGTCAAAATACTTGAAGAGGTCATGTTGCCTTATGCTGAAGAGGACATGCCCTTGAAATGGTTGTTTCAACAAGACAATGACCCCAAACACCCTAGTAAACGAGCAAAGTCTTGGTTCCAAACCAACAAAATTAATGTTATGGAGTGGCCAGCCCAATCCCCGGACCTTAATCCAATCGAGAACTTGTGGGGTGATATCAAAAATGCTGTTTCTGAAGCAAAACCAAGAAATGTAAATGAATTGTGGAATGTTGTTAAAGAATCATGGAGTGTAATAACAGCTGAAAGGTGCCACAAGTTGGTTGACTCCATGCCACACAGATGTGAAGCAGTTATAAAAAACTGTGGTCATACAACTAAATATTAGTTTAGTGATTCACAGGATTGCTAAATCCTAGAAACAAAAACGTTTGTACAACATAGTTTTGTGTTTGTACAGTCAACGGCAGACACTGCTATTTTTTTTAACACACCCCTTTCAACTAATTGCCCAATTGCACAGCCTTAAGAGCGTGCATATCATGAATGCTGGGTCTTGTTTGCTTTCTGAGAATCTACTGCACCTACTGGTAACTTGTTTGCATGTAGCAATAAAAATATACTAAAAACCTGGATTATTCTGGTTAGTCACATTGTACTGCTATTATTTTGAACAATACTGTACAACACAATGAATATAGTCAGAGGAAAACAGACTTGTTCATTTATTATCACTACATACAGTAAACGCTTTTTCTGAGAATATTGCAGAACACTAGTTGGTAGACGGCTCATACTCGCACTGTTCAGCCGCCTTTTTCCCCTCCTTTTCTTTGTCTCTAACCACCAGCATGCCTGGCTACCCACATATTGTTTAGATTAACTTCTTCTAAAACGGGGGGTAATTTGTTATCCTTCTCTGAGGTACAAGCATATACATAGCCTGAATGTGTATATACAGTATGCTAAGAGAGCCAGATGTTTATTTGGCTGTTGCCAGGAGGTCCCCAGCAGCGTTTTAACAGGACTTTGGCTTTCTGTGTTTTACTACTTGGCAGGCAGCTCAGATGAATTAGGACTGGGGGCGGGGGGTGAGTTCTAGACCGGTTCACAGTATTTGTGAGTTAACCAAACATGGGCTTTCCAGCCACACTCTACAGGGAAATGGGTTTCTGTTGTGCACGGTGCCTCCCCTAGCCAAGGCCAAGTTGCATGGTTGCTTGCAGTCTTAAACACTGGTGAAGTGTTATCAAAGGTTTGTGACTTTGTAAATTGTAGTGTGTTTGTCCAAATGCCAGGCAATACAACAGGAGAGAGAAATGAAAAGAAGGGGAGCATTGAAGTTGCACCTCTGCTGACTGAACCCCCTCATGACTCTGCAGGGTGAGATCCAAGTCAAACTGTTCAGAATGTAAACTGATTTGTATATTAATACAAGTTTGGATTTGTTTTGTATCAGTTCTATAACTGTCAAAAAATTCTTTGCAGCCTTTGGTAAATCTGTATCCATGTCTTTCTTTCAGACTGGAGCCTGCAGAACCAAAACACCCTGCAATCCAGGAGCACACTGTCTCCAGTGACTCTTCAACACCTTCCCCAACATCATGCGACTCCCATGAGGACAGACAGATTGTCACTCTAGTAGAGGAGGAGGATGAGGAGGATGAAGAGCCCAGACAGTCTACTGTCACCCTGTTGGAGGAGGAAGAAGAGAGGAGGGAGGAGGAGGAGAGAAGAGAGACAGACAGGAACCAGAGGGAAAGCCAGGCATACTCTCCTTTCTCCTCCTCCCTTTCTCTGTCCTGCATGGCCACCCTACCAGAGCTGCTCCATCGCTGGTGCTCCACCCGGCTGGCCAAGGAGAGACTACGCAGCCTTAGGCGGAGGCAGTTGACTACTCGAACACACACACACCCTGGTGCAAACACACCTGCTCTCACAGACGCACCTCCACAGATTCCTGCACCGGACCCCACACCTATACAAGAAGCCCTTCCCCTCACAGAAGAAGCTCCTGAGCCTGAGGTGTCTGTTAGAGGCCAAAATGAGGGGAACCCACTGAGTGAGGTGCACACCAGTCAGACACCTCTCAGCACTCTGACACCTGATGCACACACTCCAGAGCCCAGCATCCTCCTAGAGCCTAGTAGAACCTCCACCATCCCTCCTCACAGTTTCTCAGACATCCACACCTCTCTGACCTGGCCGACCCCCACCCATGAGGAGAAACTTATACCCCCCATTAAAGACGCAGCCCTGGATCCCATCCCCACGCCACCCTTCCAAGCTATCTCAATCCCAGAGACACAACAGGCCAGCAGTGCCACCTTCACCCTCACTGTCAGTTCACAGCCTCTGGCACCTGAGACAGGCTCTCCTGGTGCTCCATTTGTCAAAGAGCAGCCTATTCAGCCTCTACCAACCCCATCAAGGCCTGAGGAACTTATCCCCCCTCCCACTGAACTGCCAGCAGCTCTCTCGCTAACTGACACTCTCACAGACACAGTAAAGTCAGACACAGACAGTGGGGACTCCCAGAGACACAATTCCCAGGCTTCTCAGATCCACGGGGAGCAGGGGGATGCCCTCACACAGATGGCAGAGCCCCATCGGGTGGAGGACAATGTAGACGAGGACCTGCTGAGCACTAATGGGAATAGCAGCGTCCAACGCACAGCTACTGACTTCTATGCAGAGCTGCAGAATGGAGGAGATTATAATGGTGGGGCAGTGAACGGCAATAGCGTGTTGTCGAATGGCGGAGCCGTGCATGGCTCCAGCCAGAAGGAGAGCGTGTTCATGAGGCTGAACAACAGGATCAAGGCTCTGGAGATGAACATGAGTCTCTCCAGCAGATACCTGGAGGAGCTCAGCCAGAGGTGAAAACACTGGACACTGAGAATCGTGTAGTAATACCAATTGCAATAAAATGGGCTACAGTGTACATTTACGATACAAAGAGTTTTGTTTTTACATTTGTCTTGTTCAGGTACCGTAAACAGATGGAAGAAATGCAGAGAGCGTTCAATAAGACTATTATCAAACTGCAGAACACCTCCCGCATTGCCGAGGAGCAGGTCAGTTTGCTTTTGCGTAATCGAAGCAAAACAAGTTGACCCATGACCAGTAAATACTTTTGTTAATGGTAGTGTTGTCTGATAACTGAGGCTGTTGTCCTTTGCCTCTTGTGTGTATGTTTTCAGGACCAAAAGCAGACAGAGTCTATCCAGGTCCTGCAGAGCCAGCTGGAGAATGTCACCAAACTTATGTTAAATCTCAACACTACAGTCAGTCAGCTGCAGAGAGAGGTAACATACCTGCTGATGACTGTTAAGTTGCTTACATAGTAATTCCAGGTCCACGCTGCTGTTATTGTCACATGATGTTCAGGTCATGAATGCAGTGAATGCATTACCAGCACAGTGGTTGTTCAGAGCATAACATTATTGCTGTATCTCTGTTGACCTTCTTTACAAATTTGAATTCTACCCATGCCAAATACAAGCCAGCATCACAATGGTCTTTGATTTTCTGCTTGGAATGAATAGTGATGGGAGCAGCAAGGCACTGAGAGTCAAGCTGAACCAGCACTTGGGGCTGAGAACAGGGAAATACTAAAATGATAAATAGCTGCAAGAGCATGAACAACAGGCACTAATTATGGAAAATATGTGAATAACATTTAAAGCTCCTCCAGGAAACATCTAAATTGGATCATTAGCAGTTGCACAGTGTGTTACTACTGGGAAAGGGAGATAGAGAAATACAGAGATTATTGTGCCATGAAAGTGAATGACAGCACTCACAAAGGTTTCAGCAACATTTTGGTTCATTTAATTTCAAGGTAACTTCACTGAGAACAGACTTTTAAAGCTTGTTTGGTTGTGAAAGCCTCTACTTCCACTTAAAGCCTGTAAGGACTAAATACATACCTTTATTATAGTGCTTCACCGGCCCAGATTGTACCGTGTGTGTTTGCAGTTTGGAGGTGGGATCTTTGCAGGATGTAACCTGCCACTCGCAGATTTTTCTTTTTCTTTTTTTTTTTATCCTAACGAGGGGAAAGCCTTCGATACATGATGGGTGTGATGTTGTAAATGTATATGTTGGTCTTTTTCTTTATAGGTCTCTGATCGTCAGAGCTACCTGGTGGTCTCTCTGGTTCTGTGTCTGTCTCTGGGCCTCCTGCTGTGTCTGCAGTGCTGCCGCGCCTCCACTCCCGGCCCCGGCACCACCCCTGCTGCCTTCCCCAAGAACAACCACTACCCCAGCCCCAAGAGGTTTGTCTCACCCACACCCACACACTTCTGTCTTTGTGAGGACACTTGTTGACATAATGCTTTCTCTAGTCATAACACTGAACCATCAGAACTAAATTCCTAACACTAAACCTAATTCTAATATGAACCCTAAAACCAAGACTTGAGAACCAGCCAAACTGCCCTCACTCTATAGCAAAAAATACTTTTTTGGTCCTCACTATGTAGTGAGTATAAGAACACACACACACCTTGCACATGTAAATAGGATGGTGGGGTAGGTAGTTTGTAAAAGTGTTGAATACAAGATTTTGCATCACTGCCTTACTCAGCTTATCTGCTTGCTTAATGCTGTCACTCCTGTCCTGCAACTAACTGTAGGAAGCTGGAGGGTTGACAATGCAAACAGCACTTTACAACTGTCAGTTCTGTTTTTCGCCCTTGTCAGATGTTTCTCCTCCTATGATGATATGAGCCTAAGGCGCAGGATCACCTGTCCCCTAGTTCGCTCCAAATCGTTCCACTTGTCTTCTACGGAAGGTATGAGCAGCTGCAAACACTTCAGTCTCTCCTCAAACCTGCCTTCTTTGTTTTTCTATGTCACTGAAGCATAAGCAGCAGTGAGATGTGATCCTACACTTACAGATTATGACAAAGACCACATTGTAACTGTAGACTTTTCAAGCTGTGTCATTTTGCTGCAGCTCTTACCACATAACCGTCCATGTATAAGCACCACCAAATGTTTCTTCACACTTTCTTTTGTCTTCCCATCTCTTCTGCTGTCTACAGTATATCTTCACTGTCCATTCTCACACATGTTGCCATGCTAGGTCTCTGATATCCTTAGTGCCTTGAGCAGCAAAGGCCTACAGGGAGAGGCTGGTACAAGCAATAAAAAAAGTCTTTGACTTATGAAACCTCACACTCCCCCTGCTGTTCATTATCCCTTAAGTGTGTGTGTGTGTGTGTGTGCGTGAGAGAGTGAGTGAGCGGTTTGCCCTTGAGGCTGTGAAGCTGTCATTGCCAGCTTTTGTTCACCTGCAGGCTTAAGGAGTGTAAAAATGGAGCACAGTGCTTTGCTGGTTCATGGTAGACATTTGCAAGTAGTGATTAATAATAAACTAACACATTTTTAGCATAGTTTCGTTATTTTAGTCAAATTATTTCTGCTATTTTCTATGCAGACATTAGACCACAGTTATATGGATTGTTGCAGGTGCATTTTGTACATTCAATCTACTTGCAAGGTCACTTCATGCTTGTTACACTTTTCTTGTTTCCCATTCCATTGCTAACCTGCGGCCCCTCTCTTCCCTCCCCAGTAGGTCCAGATGACTTGTACATTGTAGAACCTGTAAGGTTTTCTCCAGAGAAAAAGGTACGGCGCCTGTTCCGACCACTGCTGTTGGCTGTGACGGCCATCTTACATTGTTTTCTAGTGTCAGTCTGTACAATCAGGGCGTTGTAGAGCTGCCACGTGTTCAGCTCGCTCTACATGCCTGATGTGTCTGCTAACCACTTCTTTGCTGACACTGACTTGTTTTCTGTTGTTGAAAATTAGACCAGTGTGAGCTTTAGTGCTGGTCCATCTGAGTAAAAAAAAACCATGTCACACACCAGTGGTTTTATCTCACAGCGCAGCAGTGGGATCAGTAGTCAGCACTATGCTTAGATAAGTAGTTTCACTGGTAATTTTTTTTTTTAAATCCTAAATTTTGCCATTCCCACCTTTCTCTGACCCATTTATGTCGAGCACAAAAGTGGTTATCATGGCTTTACAGTATTAAATGTATCTTGGCTTTTTTTAAATTGTTAGTTAATTATTGTCATCATCTTTTGTTTTTTCTGTAGAAAAAACGCTGCAAGACAAAGTCATTGGATAAGTTTGAAACTCTGAAAGCATCCAATCCCTGCATTATGTTCACAAATGGGGACCCCAAATGTAACGGCTTCCACCCATGCCTACCTGCACCACCTCTTGTCCTTCCCCTGCCTCCTGCTCCACCTCCCCTGCATCTGCCTTCCCCTCCCTCCACAGAGGAGGCGTTGTCATTGCCCACTTGCACCCTCAAGGAGGTCCCCTCGGAGACCAGCAGCAGCAGCTCATCTGCTCGCTCTGAAGAGCCCTTCACAAGCCACCTCCCCCCTCCCTCTCACATCTTCCCCTCCAGTGCCCTGTGCAATGGCCACAGCCTGAATTACCTTCTCCATCAGCCTCAAACCAAGTCCCGTCAGGAGAAACGCTCCATGAAGCGACGGAAGTCACGGCAGGTGGAGCCGCAGTTCCCGCACATGCCAGGAGGCAGCATCACCTCTCTGCCCAGCCTGCAGCAGGTTATGAAGGGAAACAAGGAGATCAGCGTCAGGACCATTGGGGTGACAGCTGTCACAGGACATGTCTGAAACACTCACACACACCTTTCTATTCACAACCGTTCATACACTACATGGTGGCAAACTTGTGAGGAGGTGAGGCTGTTCTGCATCCCAAAGAACCACATTTACCTTGAGCACCCTGGTGCACTGTGAATTTGAAGTAGGTATGGCAGCGGTAGCTCGACATCATGCAGTCCACTCCTGTCAAAGACCTATTTACGGTCATGTGCCTTCTTGACCTTTCAGTGCTAAAAACTTGAATTTAGAAGAATTATTGATAAGAGAGACACTGAGATGCGGAATGAAACATTAACCCAAATCAGCTGAAGTGTGGTCATGTTCTTTCAACTGGAGAAGCACAGTGTCAAATGGCAGTTGAGCCCAGCGAGAAGAGGTACTGGCCTCAGTTCTATGTTCCCTCACGCAGGGAGCATCATGTGTTCATTTGGGATGAAATGTGTCAGTCAGAGAGCTTTGGAGCAAGACCAACTACTTCTCTTATCTTTATTTCCTCCTGTTCTCCATTGCAGTCATTTTATTCTATTTGTTCTGTCTTAGTGTTGATCCTAACATGACTCCAATTGTTTGTATGGGACCAGATTGTGCACCAGACTGTTCCTCTGTCTGTTCCAAACCAATCGTTAAATCTGAATGAAGAAAACTGTTTTGCATGGGGTGAAACAGTCTGAATGTGTTAGTCCTCTCAGTTTAGTTTCTCATTTAACCTCATTACAAATACAACAGCAGCAGTCTTTAGATCCTACAGGTTCACAATGGATTGTTCATCTATTCAGTTGGTTTGGGCTGGGCCCAGTAGCATTGTTCACACACCTTATGAAGAACCGTTGTGCTGTTGCATTGGACTGTGTGACTGCGGATGTAAAAAAGATTCAGACAAAGTGTTTTATTCTTTTGTCATATTTTACTGTCTATAACTGAGCCATGCACCCCTCTTATCACTGCTGTGGCTGGTTTGAATTACTCCCACAACCAGTATGGAGGAACAGGTTTCCTTTTGGGGGCACAGTGTACTTTAGGAGCACAGTGAGTAGCAAATCTGAATGTTTACACTTTGATCTCACACACCCTGACACCCTGCTGGGACCCCACAGTCAGGTGTGACACACCAGTTTTATTTATCTATCTATTTATTTATTTAAATGTCTACATATTTTTCTAACAGAGGCACTGGCTTCCCAGTTTCCCAATCCTGCAGCTGACACAGAGGGTTTATCCATGTATGTTACATAGAAATGTTACAATGAAATACACTCAGAGATACTGACGCCCATACTCACAGTGGGGTGGGTGGCTCAGCCACAGACCTTTTATTTTGGGCTCTGACATTACAGCAGCCAGTTTGCCTCTGCCTATAATAGCAGACAATATAGTAGTCGTACACCCTGCAGCATCTTCGGTGTCCGGCTGGGTTAATTGACTACATGTTTGTTAGGATTGTCACACTGCTGCTTTTGTATGTGTTTGAGCTGCTGGATGATTGGAGGCTATGGACAGGGTTAAACTGAGTGTGTATTACTGTCCTGTCTCTGTGTGCTTGGTTCTTCAGCTTTGTTAAACAAAATAACTCATTTAAACTCAGAAGTCATGATTTCCTGACTAACTACAGTAACATAGTTTAATGGTTAAACACTGTAGGATGTTCACATATGAAAAGGTATTCATTTTTGTGTGTTTTTACCCCCCACTGTGTATGCAGTTTCTGACCAGCTCGGTGTGTTTGAGCGTGTGTCAGGTTGACAAGAGAGGGTCATGACCTCTACTGACCAGCTTCTACACTCTTTTTACCCCCACCATGCTTTGTGACTGTGAAGAATATGTTTAATATGCCTGCTTTTACTAACCACTGTAACATGTTCCCATTAGAAGTGTTCCAAGTCCACACGCCTACATTTCAGATTTGTTATCGCTCTTTGATCTTAGATGTTTCCCCACCATGAGCGGGCGATGTGGTTTGTAAGGAGAGTTGTTGAATAAAGGGAACACAGCAGAGATGATGGGTATTATTTAGGATACTTTCAGTGTGATTCTGTATGATCTTCAAGCTGAGCAAATGTGTATGATTTTAATTTGTGTGTGTGTGTGTGTGTGTGTAAACAAATGTGCATGTGAGAATTATTTTGTTGTTCTCATGTATGTGCCTGTTAGGTGAAAGACTACTTATCCCCATAACATAGAGTAAGGAGAAAGCCCTCAGAGAGAAACTCTTGGAACTCGGTGTGCACTTTGTATGACTCTTCATGCCTTTTTATTTTTCTACCTTACTGTATATGTCAAGTGCTTTCTTTTCTTTTTCTCTCTCAGTACTCTGAAGAGCTGCACAGTATTTTTGAGCAGGAGTGAGTTACTACAAAATCTGTAGTGCCATTAGAAACTGTGAATTTCTAAATAAAACCTTTTTTTGTCGGCTTTGTCTTTTATTATGTGTGTGGTTTCTTAGCCAGCTATGGTGCAGACTGTTTATTAATAAACTATTGAAATGGTATTTGCAAAGGACTTGGATCAATATTGGTTTTCTAATAAGACCTGTTAAAAGCAGTGGTGCAAAGTAAGTGCTGTACTTAAATACAACTTTGAGGTACTTGAATATGTTTATTTTGTGCTATGTCATATTTTGGTTTACTTACATTTTAGAGGCAGGTATTGTACTTTTTATTCTGCTGTATGTATTTGAGAACATTTGTTACTAGCTACTTTTCAGAATTAGATTAAAAACTAAATTCACTATAGTCATAGGACCATTGATCTCAGTGGAAAAATTCACAAGCTACCCAGCAGTAATTCATATTATGAGCATACCATATAAGTGTTGCCAGCTGCAACAGTGAAGTGATGAATGCAAAACTGCATCAGTAATTATAATTCAGTAATATGATGTACAGTACTTTAATGTTAAATGTGCCATTCTGCACAATGACTTGTTTACTTTTTGTAGCTGACTTTAAGTAGTAGTAGTAGTTTTACTCAAGTAACATTTTGAATGCAGGACATTTACTTGTAGCAGAGTATTTTTACAGGAGTAAAAGCAGGGCAGGAGTACATTCATGTATTTATTATCAACAGTGGTTTTAAACAACACTAGTTTCCATTGTCGATAAGCATTCAAGGAGACAAAAGGAGCATACTGTAGCGTGCTGCAGGACATAACATGCCAAGTGAAGGATCACTACAATACCATCCTTTTCAATAATGTAGAAAACACACAGTAGCAAATTACTGCACAAATGCAGGATGACTGGAAACAAGTGTTAAAAAGTATTAGACTGTGGAGTCCAGAAGAAGGCAGGAGAAAGGTGGAGCATGCCAGCTGCCACAAAACCTAACAGAACAAGTTACCGGGTCGTTGGTTTCGCCCAGCCACAAGGTGTCGCTGTGAAGAAACTGCTCTCAGTTCTCAGGTCCAGTTCTTCCTCTTCTCTCTGTTTACGTTCATCCAACAACATGGAGGACGAGCTTGATGTAGATATCGAGGGAGACGAGTCTGAAAGCAGCATTAAGTGAGGATGCTTCATCATTCTGTTGGAATACCATTCACACCGTCAGTTGGTCGTGTGTGCTACATTTCATGCTAATTAACAGGGAGCTGCTTGTTGTGCTAAAAGCGGGCTAACAGCTGGAGCTGTGTTGCGAGTCGAATAGATGGATCCTTGGCTGTTGTGTTAATGACGGCTTCTTGTATTTGTGTTACAGGCAGCTGGACGGAGGAGATTTAGTCCAGGAGCAGTTCATACAGTCTGCGTGGAAGAGCAGCGCAGGGATACTGGTATGAGCTTGTGAAGCTCAGGCATGCGGCTATCTGCAGTGTGGCTGAGAGTGTTGGTGTGCTGACACTGTGTCTGTCTGTCTGTCTGTCTGTTTGTGCAGCCCTGGGAGCTGGACAGCTCAATCAGCCCGGAGAACAGAGAGGTGATAGAGAAGATGCTGCTGGAGGAACAGTACCCTTTCACCGACATCAAGTTATGCACAGTCTGCTTATGCTTTACTGGGAGTTGAATAATCTAGTTTACAGCACATCAGAAACCAGTTAAGACGAGATAAAACAGCACATTCTCACATCACATATTTGATAAGTTTGCTTGAAAAGCGACACCAAATGATTAACCAGTTATCAAAATAGATGCGGATGAATTGACAAACTGTTCCAGCTCTACAGACTATGGCCCAGATACGTCATTTTACTATCATGGTTTCATTCCTATTATTTCCATTATGAAAGCCTGTGATCCTAAACCAAACTTACAGATACTATCTGACAGGTCAGGACATTCCTACTCATATTTGGGACAGTGATGCTAACAACAAGTCCAAACTGAAAAAGTAAGTCAGTCCTTCACATGAGTACAGAACACTCATTACTCATGTTGTTGGCATTCAAGTCATGCTTCTCTCTGTTGGATCTTCAGGTCTCCAGCCAAGGCCTCTGCCTCAGGTTCATCTTCTCGCTGGTCCAAGCAAGAGAAAGAGCTCTTTGATGAAGGACTGGTAAGATTACCTTGTCAGCATAATTTACTGTTGTCTCGGTTGTCTAATCGCTGCTCAGGTATAGAGGCTGTAACAGATTTAACACTTGGTGTGTGTGAGGCACTCTGTCAGTGCCCTGTCTAAAGTCCTCGGCCTATTTTTGTGCAGGCTCGGTTTGGTCGAAGTTGGACCAAGATTGCCAAGTTGGTGGGCAGCCGTACTGTTCTCCAGGTCAAGAGCTATGCCAGACAGTATTTCAAACACAAGGTGAGACTTTCTGTGTTAAGCTGCTAGCAACCTAAGTAACACACAGGTCCAAATGATTCTCTACACAGTTCAACTTGTGCTTTCACAACCAGACTGCAGTCCTTGGGAAAACCTGGGAAAAAAGAATATGGAATAGACAAACTCTTTCATCTTGTGTACATTTTTTTCAGGCTAAATCAGAACCCAGAGGTGCAGCTCCATCTGCAGGTGCTGTGCTGCACAAACAACCCCCTCAAACCACTTCCAGTCATGGTAGCACTCTGTCGAACACTGTCCGTATAGAGAAGCTTTCTGATGATGAGGACGAAGATGTAGACATCACAGACAACCCAAGTGATGACGGAAACGCTGATGACAAACTGAAAGCTGTGTTCGGCACTGAGTTCTGTGAGCCAGAGCAGCTAACAGGCGCCAAGATCCAGACAGACAATTCCTTAGAAAAGCAGAAAGATGTAGGTCAGGCTGGTACAAAGGACCGACACAGCCACGTGTTGCTACCTCCACAAAGTCCTCACCCCTCATCTTCGTTCCCTTGCTCAGTGGAGTGTGATGGAGCTGGCCCAGATGAGAAAAGCAACCAGACAGGATCACCTTTTCTAAAAAACCTTCATGCGAGAGAACAGATGGACTCAAAGCAAATGACCGATGAGAATGATGGCCAGTGTTCCCAGTTTGAGAGCTCAGTGGAGGCCGGTCAGTTGGAAGAGCCCTGGAGTGATGGCACAGGTAAGATTCACACCTGCTGTGTGTCCTGTAAACCCACAACACTGATTTCTGTGCTTTTTCTTTTCTTATGAAGCAACACTCTTCTCACGTTTGCCTCCCAGATTTTGCTGATAAGACTGAGCACAATGTAACTGACAGACCAGAAGACAACCAGGAGGAGGAGGAGGAAGAGGAGGAGCTTAAGGTACCTGAACAGGAAATAGAGATAGACACAGAGACCATCACTGAGGACGAAAAGCAAGCAATCCCAGAGTTTTTTGAGGGAAGACCGTCCAAGACCCCTGAAAGATACCTGAAGATCAGAAACTACATCCTGGATCAGTGGTAAAATTCAAGTTTAACTTCTCAATTAGACTGCATACAGTTCTGCAAGTGAGCACTGCAAGAGAGCTGGGGGATTATAGTTGTCCTTGTTTGACAGGTTGAAAAGCAAGCCCAGGTACCTGAACAAGACATCAGTTCGTCCTGGCCTGAAGAACTGTGGTGATGTCAACTGCATAGGGAGAATACACACATACCTGGAACTCATTGGAGCCATCAACTTCAACTGTGGTGACTTTACTAAGCCTATGACAGCAGGTTATCTGTTTTTTTTATTTGTAGCTTCCCTGATTCGCCTGGGACTCTGTCTTTCCTTTTACAGAGCAAGCAGTGTATAATCGCCCAAAGGTGGTGGACCGCTCCAGGCATAAAGAAGGCAAAGAGATGTTTGAGGCTTATCAGCTTGCCCAGAGACTGCAGAGCATTGTAGGTGTTGATACATCAAACTCATAATATTCAGTCAGTGAGTTGTCTGGACCTTGAGCTAACTGCTGATTGGTTTTAGCGGACCAGGAAGCGCCGCGTGAGGGACATATGGGGAAACTGGTGTGACGCCAAAGATTTGGAAGGACAGACATATGAGGTCTGGATACTGTCACACACGCACACTCGCATACACACACTAGTATTGCTCCTAGGCTGATTCACATCATTATATTGACTGCTCATGGGCTGTTGATGTTTCATCAGCATTTCAGTGCTGAGGAACTCGCTCTGCATAGAGAGGAGATGAAGAAGCAGCATAAGCCCTGTAAGATGTTCAGAAACAGAGGGTGAGCATGATGGACTGATGCAACACTCACTGAATTCCTCACAGCCTTGTATTTATAGATACAGAAATACTAAAATCCCACTCCTCCTCCTATTATAGGTCTTTTGATCCTTTCCAGCTGATTCCCTGCAGGTCTTTTGGAGAGGATGTACAGGTCATTGTTCATCTATCCTATCATTCAGTCACCAGTAATGTAGTTCATCACGCAGGATGGGATTCTCACTACCACAATATCTGAGTTATGGCTCCATAATCTTTATAAGACAGGAGCCATTTTTGGACAGTAATACTGTATTTTTTAAATGACATCTTTTGTATGAACATGCATTCATTGATGCTACTTGTATTTTTGTCATTTACAACTATATCAGTGAACATAGACCTCACAATACTTATTGTTCTTATCCTGACACCTCATTTGTATGAAGCTCTTCTTTGGATGATTTCTACAGGAACCGTTCCAGGTTGTTGTTTGTGCAGACACTTTGCTCATCATGGACATGGTATGCTATACACACAACTACACATACTGAAGGTATTCTGCTTGTAGTGTGGGACTGACATGTCCACAGTTGGTTCACTGTCTTTCTTTTAAATATATATTTTTTCTCAATTATGTACATGTCTTATATTATTGTTTTTATACAACTTGTTCTCTGTCTTTTGTTGTATTTCATTTTAGAATGATTTTCTTTTTTTTAGCTTTGTTCCTAATATTCCCACATTGTGCTGTGATCCTCAGCATGCCCATGTGTCACAGGGTGAAGTAATCGGCCTGCTAGGTGGAACTTTTAACAAGGAAAAGAAAGCATTGAAGGTAAGAATAAGGAACAAAGTAATAATTATATTTACTGTGTATTTTGAAACTTAGAGACAAATGCTTCTGTGTGTAGATCTGTACAGCAGAGCCATGTAACAGCATAAGCACAGGTTTGCAGTGTGAGATGGACCCGGTGTCTCAGACGCAGGCCTGTGACGTGCTGTCATCACTGGGTTTCAGTGTGGTGGGCTGGTACCACTCACATCCCTCCTTCCACCCCAACCCTTCAGTACGGGACATAAACACTCAGGACCAGTTCCAGGTAAAATGAATGGAGCAGTGAGTGCACACAGAGTTTACTACATATAAATGTGTGATCTGATCCTCTGTGTCCTGACTGCTCCAGAGTTACTTCTCGCGTGGTGGAGCCCCCTTCATTGGCATGATAGTAAGCCCATATGACCCAGCCAATCCCTCCCCCCACTCCCAAACCACCTGCTTGTTGGTGAAAGAGAGTCAAGATCCCTCAGGCCCCCACAGTGTGTATAGCGCATTCACACACACAATAAGACATGACTCAATACTTGAAAACAGTAAAGATCAACAGGCTTTGAAATCAAACTGACAGTGTAGGTCAGTGCTTTGCTTCATAGTACCAACAGTTGATTGTCTCTCCCTGGTCGTCTGCAGAGCAGCCCTACAGATTTGACTTCCTGTCATCACCAGACATTCCAGACTGGGAACAGACAATGAGGAGAGCTCAGTGGATCATCCACAAATACGTTCAAACACCCGGGTGAGTGGGGGACAAAGCCGTAGTGATAGTTTTGACCACACATGGTCTAATGCTGATCCTGTCTTTGTGTGATAATAAACAGTTTTTTCTTGTGTGTCTCTGGCTTGTCAGGAGTGTGCAGATGAACAGACCTTTCCGGAAAGATTCTCATCTCACCTGTCTGGAGAAAGTCAGTCTAGCTGCTAATTTATACATCCCAGTGGCTAATGTTAACTGATGTACCTGTGTTTTAACTATTTAATTGACTATACCTTATTTAACTTAACCTCTTCCCTCCAGATGCTGTCATCTCTAGCCAGGTACCTTGAGCCCCTGCCAGATGAGGAGGGAGACCCTTTTCTCACACACATCCAGGCTCTTTTCCAGTCTGACTTTATTGCCAAGCAGCAACAGGAAGAGGGAGAATCTTTAAATGCCTTATCTGGACCAGTGGACTCAGATGATCTTCCTTTTGATCAGCTGATTAGCGAGGAGAGACCCCAGGCAGGAGACTCTGATCAGGATTCTGGCAGAGCTTCAGACAGCAGTATACAGACCGCCACCTCTGAGACAAACAGCAACACATTGTTACATCTAGGCTCTGTGTTATCAACTGAGCATGACTATTTACTGTGATGTACCATGTACTTGTGCTATACTGCGATTTTTTTTAACTTATGTGTAAACTTTTCTGTAAATTTGTATGGCTTTCTACCAGAAGCTTTCTGGTTCAATTTTTAGCAGTTTTTAAAAATGTTAGAATTGGATTGTGTGAGCAGAGTTCACATTAAAGCCTGTTAACCAAATACCCAGCAACTCCCCGAGTAGATGTGCATGTATGTTTGTGTGTGGTGTGAATGAGTGTGTTATGATGAACATTTTGTCAGTTGTACAGTTCTCTTTTAAAATAAAAATACATTTTCAGATTATATGGTGTTTAATCTTATTTTTTAATATACTTGTTATTGTGCTTTGAGGTACTGTCCTTTACAATACACTCCCACAAAAAATGAGATCATAACTTTGTCTCCTAACTAAAAAGCAATGTTGAAAAGTATTCTTAGTTTGCCTTAGGTTGAAGGAGCGTTACGTCCATAGCAGTAAGATTAATTTAGTAAATATGTCTATGCATGACCATTTAATTAACATACTGTACCTAGCAATAACTGTTGTTTGTGTGGCCGGAACTTGTGACACTGAGATGTTTCTACGGGGACTCATTTTACCGCAGTTCCGTTCAATTCGTGTTGACTTGGTACGTCCTGTCGCAACGGAGTTCACCTTAAATGTTTAGGTCAAACTTTCGGAATAGACGCAAACATTTTATGATATGGCTGCTGGATAATGCTAACCAGGGTTAACTTTAGCTACTGTCTGTTGGTTGACAGCTGATAACACGGAACTGTTAAATTGACATAGTGAAAAAATGAACGTTAATTTAAGATGAGGAATATGATCCCTCTCAGATAACAGTTAACTACTGTTGTGTCGTCAGGCTGAAAGGCCAATTAGGAAAAGTTCATTTAAGTTCTCTTTCTCCATCAAGGATAATGGTTTTACTATATATGAATCTTTTAAAGAGCAGCCGTTTCTGCTCTCTTTCTGTACACCTGACACGAAACGTCCAGGTCCACCAACACGCTGGACACCCCCAGAAGAAGGCGCACTCAGTGTCCTCTGAGGTGTGCTGTCCGACAAGAACAAACTCCGTGCTCTGCAGAGCAACTCCGACTGGACTGCCTTGGTTTGTCTCTAGCAATGGAAGAATGATGTATTTCCGTGTAAGTCACAAAACCGCTTCACCATCTGGCCGTGTCTTGACACAATGTCGTCACCACGTCCACACCTCAGCGCCTCTGAGGGCCCTGCCCGCTCCTCTAATATGGATGGTGCTCAAACCCCTGCAGAAGCTCATGGCTATAATACTGGGCAGGTAGGAGACGCAGTGGGGCTCTACAGGGTTGTCTTTTATTATTACAGACTGAAGTGACTGATGCATAAAAACATGCATACAAACAGGGCTTGACATTAACACCCGCCCCAAATTCGGGTGCATTTCAACAGTGGTGGGTAACATAGTCACTTCCACTAGCAACTTTGGTGGGTTGAATTATACATATACTGTATATAGTCTCTTCAAAAGGCATCTGAAATAATAGACTAATTGCACTATGACACTACAACACTACAACTCCCATGAGCACTACCTGCACAGAGTGTTTGCTCATTGGTCCATTCGTGAAGCTAGTGACCAACGATACACCACATTAAACAAAAGGGTTGTAAATCAAATTCATTCACGTAAATTTTAAGACGCCGTAGTCAACTTTGATCATAAAACGCAACTTCCCAAAAACAGCATTGTGGCCAATGAAAAGGTTGAGTGGCTAGTAACTTTGTAAAACCACTAGCCACAGTGGCTGGTGAGCAGAAACGTTAATGTCAAGCCCTGCACAGAAATAAGTCAAGTCCACACGTTAATCTTTAACACATCCATTGCACAAATGTAAAATATGACATACAAATTATTCAGAATATCCTGTATTTGTATTGTAAGTTCATTATATTTAGGTGCAAACAGAAAATAGCTATATTATAAAATAATTTGCAACTAAACACATAAATTAGCAGTGTGTCCAGTGTTTTAAGGTACAGTTTTATTTAATAACATTGTTTTGTCAACACTTGAATAAATTAGAACAACAGTTGTGTTAATTAGAGCAAATTCATTAATCTAGAAATTGTTGGAAGGTCATATAAATTATTTCAATAAAGTGGTAAAAATGATAAACATGTTATCATTTGGCACCCAGGCTGCATGAATTCATTTGTTTCTTTGGGGGGGGTCAGAGAACTGAGTTTGTAAACATTTGCAGCCTCCCAGCACGGAACTCCCAGAAATACAGAGTTGTTTAGTCACTCTTTCAAAAAGCCTTGGTTCACTTGCCTAATTTACAGGAGTATAAGGAAGTGGTGGGTGGCTCTCCCAGACAACCGCCAGCAGCTCATGCGTAAATGGGCCTGGCAACGCCGCTGGCATCTAGCAATGGGGGCGGCTGTTGCTATGGTGATTGTAGCCCTCCTCCTCCTTACCCACCTGGATGAGACCCCAGTGACGGGCCGAATTCGCCTCCTGGTGTTCAGCAGAGAGAACTACATGGAGCTGGCAGCTATGGCTTCAGAAGCGGTAAGAGACAAGAGGGGAGACAAAAACGATGTGTGGACTACAGGATGACTGCGGATAGGAGACTGCAAATAATCTTTTTTCATAAATTTTGATGAGATTCACTTGTCCGCATTGAAAACAGCAATGACGTATAAGATGACATGTAGTGACATTGTGTATGGGTGTGTTTCAGTACATGGAGGAGTTTGCAGAGCTGCTGCTTCCAGTCACTGACCCTCGTCACCAGGTGGTAGAGCTCCTTGCCCAGCAACTGGCAAAAAATAATAAGGACATACCTGAGGTGTCTGATGTCACCTGGAGAGTCCACGTTTTGGAAAATCCCGACATCAATGCCTTTGTCCTACCAGTCAGTAGAAGAAAGATGGCTCTGTGTATTTTCACGCTGTTACAGAATCGCAGCATTAATCTCATATGTGAGGACATCTTAAATGTGATAGTATCTCTTTACATTTGTTGCTCCTATGAAGTATCCTTGTAGTTGGAGCGGGATTAGTTTTTCTCACTATAGTTCTTTTCTTTTGTATCTTGCCCTCATAAAATAATGCTTTGATAATAAAATGGGAGCAAATAATAAGTAAATAATTTGTACTGAGTGTTTACTGTAAGCTGCCGAATGTACTCCAGGTATTGAGATACGTCATCTATACTGTATAATATAGTTAGAGGTAAATTGCAGTATCAGAGCAATTACTACTTTGTTTTCACACACCTGTAAAGAAAATCTGTAAACAGCAAATAGCTCTAATTTAGTTTGTATTCTCCTTTATCTAGAACGGGGAAATATTTGTTTTTACTGGGATGCTGGATGCTGTGGCAGATGTTCACCAGCTCACTGTTCTCCTGGGACATGAAATGGCTCATGCAGTACTGGGACACTCTGTAAGTACATGGCAGTAAAAAGAGGCCCTTATTGTTATTGCAGCAGTACAATAGGGAAGGAATTACATCTGTTACTGTATTAGTTTACTAATGTGCATTTATGCATTCAGTAAAACAGCAGATGTATGAAGTGCTGCAGTGTACCAAGACCTATGTACAGTTGGCTTACATTGGAGGGGCTTAATTGATGATAGGAAACCTCGCTGTGTATGAGGACAAGTTATTGAAAACCCTTAAAGAGCCCATGGCATGCTTTTCTGTGTTTTCTGACTTATCTACAATGTTACAGTGGTGAGTTATCATCTTAAACGTGACTGAAAGCTCGAAAAAAAAGAGGTGTACCTGTGTTGTACTTCTTCGCAGAAGCAACTTGGTTTATACAAATCTTGCAACCTCTCGTTGGTGAGACTTTTTCCCCCAAATATATAAAGTCTTATGCATTAGTTCACCCATCTCCTTGAATGGACATCATCTCCAGGCAGTTGTGTGTTCATGTGAACTTGCCTGATGTCCACTGGTGCATTGTAAAAGTGGAATTTATCAACTCCGTGGGGTTTTGTGGATATATTTAACCTCCTGCTGCTACACTGTGACCAGAGCACAGTGCCTATTTGTTTTGACTGCTTGAGGCCAGTGTGTTTGCCACATGTGATGTGTTGCTGTTTAAGGAGTGGATTCTAACAATCCATGATGTTATTGTCAGTACAATGCTACCTGTTGGGAATGTATATGGTTGCCTAATGCAAAGGATTTGTGGGGAAAGACAAAGCGATCACCGGTTGGATTTACTGACCTTGAAGTTTCCACTACTCAGTGGGATGTAAGGGTAAGTTAAAAAAGCACACGCGTGTTGCAGATCTGTTAATGCGTTGTTTCTGTAATGCTAGAGAGAATTGTAAGGCTGGAGAAGTTGCTATGTCTGCATTATGGCAGTTAAAATATGGGGTTTCGCAATTACCCTTTTTTAGTGTTACACATCTCTTTTCATCAGTACATATACCATTTACCTATCTGTGGAGGAGAAATTCAAATTAATTAATGCCGTTGTGGTTTGTTGTGCTGTCCACTTTCATATTCTGGCTCGAACACGAACAGATGAATTAGGATTTGAGGTATTGTCATTGTCCAAAACATACTGTAGCTTATTAGTCAAACTTTTTTGTTTATGTGGTAGCTTCCTGACCAGCAACAGGAGTTGTACGCGTTCATGAACAATGTTCTCATTTTCAAGAGGAAACTCTACTTGTGATATCGGGTTTTATCGTTCTGAAATAATTGCAGAGTATTTGGAGTTATGATAGGTGCAAAGCTAATCTAGGGCTACCCAAGGTTAAACATTTATTTAAATGGCTGGAAATGAGCATGCCATGGGCACTTTAAAGTGCAGATAGTGTTCAGGAACAAAGTATAGTTATTTAGAAGCCCTTGCCATGCAACAAAGTCAATAATGGAAGTCCCCCCCGATACACATCCAACAAGGGCGGTGTCGTCCGAGAACTTTTGTAGATGACAGCGGTAGGAGTTGTACTTGAAGTCCGACGTGTAGAGGGTGAACAGAAAGGGGGTGCCCCCGTGCTGCAGACTACCACGTCCGACACACAGTCGCGCAGCCTTATGAACTGAGGTCTGTCTGTGAGGTAGTTAATGATCCATGCATACAGGTGTTGGTCCACACCTGCCCCCTTCAAGAAGTATAACACAAAGCAAACACGGAAAGCTTCAGAAAGCACGGAAAAAAATACAAAAGAGGACAGAGCTGCTGGAACTAGCTGCCGCTCTGCGTGGCGCTGGAGATGGAGACAATACATGCTTGAAGTTTGACTAAATGATTTGAATCATTTGGGTTCATAGATAAATATAACTGTGTATCTTCTGCATAGCAATGGAAATTTATGTCATGTTTCCTGATAATATTGCCCAAAGGGAGGAACGCCATGACTAACTAGTTTGTGTGGAACATTCGTCATTAACATGAACAAATTGAAATCTTTCTGATAAATAAGATTTGAACCAACTCAGTGTGGTTCCTTTAATCCCAATAACATGTTCAAGTCTCTGCAGCAAGATGCTGTGATCAATGGTGTCAAAAGCAGCACTGAGATCTAAGAGGACAAGTATAGAGACAAGTCCTTTGTCCGAGGCTAGGAGAAGATCATTGGTGACTTTCACCAATGCAGTTTCTGTACTATGATGGACTCTAAATCCTGACTGAAAATCCTCAAACAAATCATTCTTGTGCAAGTGGTCACATAACTGCTTTGCAACAGCTTTTTCAAGGATTTTGGAAATAAATGGGAGAGTGGATATTGGTCTATAATTAGCTAGGACACCTGGGTCAAGAGTAGGCTTTTTGAGTAGAGGTTTAATTACTGCAA